GAGCGGCGAAGAGCGGAGGAGTGGAGAAGGTGGAAATATCCAAGGACGGCCGGGACTGGAAGTCCATGAAGAACAACGGATGGGGCGCGACATGGGTGCTGAATCCCGCCAAGGATATCGTGGATGCGGGGCGCAAGGTGAGCGTGCGCGTGACGGCGGTGGGCGGCGGGCAGCAGGTGGTGCTGCAAGACGTGATTCCGAGCAAGTGGAGCGGCGGGAAGATCTACGAGAGCAGCACCAATTTCTAGACTGGGGTGTACCGTGTACGCAGCACGCCTCGAGGCGCGATTGTTGCCGCTCCCAGTGCCAGTAACGGGCTGCAACGAGGTGACGCGACGCGCGCACTAGAGCGCAAATAATGCAGCTACCGCCGTGGCGTGGTGGTGTGCAAGGGAGTGAATAAAGGCCCGGCCAGCCTTGATGCAGGCGGATGGGCATCCTGAGGCTCCCATGGCAGTGTGATGCAATGCGAAAGTAGCAATGTAATTACAGCTGCGTGCTCTCTGTCTCCTCTGCACCACGATTTTCTCAATATCAACCAGAGTTTGTGATGATTGATGCAAAATGACCCCACACACGCAATACAGTAGTACGGTACCCTTTTCTTCCAGTCCCACTCTGGAGTCTGACATATCTCAGTCCTGAAAACAATCACTAAATCCTGATATCCTGGGCAGGACCAGGCACTTGCGACAGCAAGCTACGGATACTCTAGGATATGTTCTGTACATGTGCATGTTCATCTGCATCATAGTACCAGATCATGCAGCACACCCAGATTCAGGCAGCAGCACCTACCAACAAAGAACCACCGTCAGCTGAACAGTATCCCTGAAAAAATACACAAAGCAAACCCTGCCTGCTTCCACTGCACCAGAAAAGACTGGTGCAATGGACGAGCTCCTGGCACAGCACCATCACCATACAAGGTACGGTAAATCAGGACAGTCCCAGCTGGTAAATCAGGACAGTCCAGCTGCTGTGGCAGCTGCAGCAGAAGCAGCAGCAGCCCATCCCGCCACTAGCATCTCTCCATGGCACCACGATCCATCTAACCACACAGCGCAAGTCATCCGTCAACGTCCATGCCTCCACTGCTGCCGCCTGCCGTGTCCCCTGCGCCATGTGCAGCCGTGTGAGCGGTGTGCTGCACTGCCTTGCGCAGCTGCGCGGAGGAGCAGTGGTCTAGTAGGGAGAGGCCTTCCTTGTCCCTCACGTCCAGGCTGGCACCGTGCCGCACCAGGAGTAACACCACCTGCGGCACAGAGAGTGGAGGGAAGGAGAGGGGGTGAGAGACGAGCAGTGGTGTAGTAGTGAGAGGCCGTCGAGGTCCCTCACACATCGATGCTGGCACCGTGCCGCACCAGGAGTAGCACCACCTGGGGCACAGGGCGTGGTGGGAAGGAGAGGGGTGAGAGATGGGGAGAGAGAGAAGGGGGGGGAGAGGTGCGAGCAGGATTGTTTAGAGAGGTGGCTACATGGAATGTTGTGATGAGCAGAGCATCTTTAGCTGTAGAACAGGGGTGATGTGTTGATGAGAATTCAAGCCATGGTGCTCTCGTATGCACTGGCTGTGACTGCATCCCTGCTACACACTGCATGCATCACTGCATGCATACATGCAATTAAAAAGGTCCCCCTCACCCTTCACCCCTCACCCCGCACCCCTCACCCTCCACTTCTCCCCCCACACCCCGCACCCAACACAGTCTGACTCACATCTGCTCGTTAACCCCCGCCCCCTCTTCCTTCCCCCCTCCCTCCTCCCCCCCTGCACCCACCTGGTCATGCGCGCACTCAGCAGCGGCCATGCGGGCGTGCACCTAGCAACGCCCGCACAACCACCGTCACATGTCACACACCACACCCCACTCTCCACTCCCCACACTTTGCTTCACATCTCGTCACCTACAGGCCACTCCCCCCCTTCCCCCTCTCCTCCACTCGCCCCTCCACTCCACCCACCTGGTCATGCGCGCACTCAGCAGCGGTCATGGCGGGTGTGCGGCCAGCATTGTCAGCGGCATCAATGGCAGCGCCCTCCTCCACCAGCACCTCGCACACCGCACTCTGATCCGCCCCCGCCGCCCTGTGTAGGGGTGAGCACCCCAGCTGTGCCATGCCGTGCCGTGGGGAAGAGCAAAAGGAAGAAGAGAGAGGGGCAGGGGGGTTTGGAGTTGAATGGGGAGTGCAGGCGGGGGCAGGGGAAGGGTTGGTGGAGAGGCAGGGCAAGCGGATTCAGTGAGGGGGAGCGGGGAAGGGGGATGGGGCTTGTTTTGCTGCAACGAGAAAGACAACGGAGATGGTGTGGGAGGAGTGGGGGAAGCCTGCATGGGTGCTGGTTCGATGCAGCAGCAGCGGTTGTGGGCTGGGCCCAGCTAGGAAGCAGGAGAAGGAACATGCTCGGCCATCTGCTGTACTAGAAACAAACAACAGCTTGCCTCTCACTGAACTAGAAACTCTCAACTTAACAGCGTGCATGCAAGTACATAGTGCTTCCATGATCCATCCATTGATCCCTTTCTTCCGGGCGTGATTCAATCAACACTGCATGGGCACATGGCTGCACCCACCGACGCACCTTGTCCCGTTGATTGATCCCTTTCTTCTGCACTGCGGGCGATCTCAGCAGCGAATGGACGATGGCCACGTGGCCCTTGCTGGCAGCATAGTGCAGCGCGGCCCTGCCCCCCGTGTTGACTGCTGTTGCATCCGCACCAGCCTTCAGCAGCACCTCCACCACGGCCGCTCGCCCACTGCTGCTCGCTGACTGCCGGGAGTGGGGGAGTGGGGGAGCGGGGGAGCGGGGGAGGAGGAAGACCCGCGTGGTGCATACACATGCAAGCAAATGGCATTGACTCAAACCCAACCATATCCCGATGCAACATCAAAATCGCAATTCCTCCCCAAACCCAGCCCCCTTCTTCCTCCCTCCCCCCCCCCCCCCTTCCTTCCCTTTCTCATCCCCCTTCACACTCCCCTGGATGCCACACCTCCCACCAACCCTGTAGAAGACACCCACTCGTTCCACATCCCAACCCCCCAATCACTCTCCCCCCTCCCCACCCCCTTCCTCCCCACCCCCTTCCTCCCCACCCCCCCTCCCCCCCCCGCCCACCATGAGCGGCGTCCACCCCTCCTCATCGCCCCCGTTCACATGCTCCGCGCTCTCCCTCGCGCCATCCAATCCGCGCAGCAGCGCGCGCACGGCCTGGCAGGCACACGGAGATGGGTTGTCCCCGCAGAGCGCGACGCGAGAGAGGCGAGGAGGGAGAGGGGGAGGGGAGTGGGGAAAGCGCGGGATGGGGAAGGATGGGAAGGGCAGCGTGAGCGGCGCGATCAGCACGAAGCACGAGGAAAGAACGACATGGCACGCGAATAACCATCACTAGAAAAGAATTCAATTTAGCACGCGCGGACAGCACACGCGATCATAGTCACGTCTCCCCCGCTGCTGCACATCGGAAGCACGGAACCGCGCGTCTGCCAGACGCGTGGAACCAAAGATTCCGGGGTGTGTGTTCGTGTCGCTCACCCCGGCGTGCCCAGCAGCCGCCGCGACGTGGATGGCGGAGCGCCGGTCGTCATTGCAGAGCGCTCTAGCTGCAGCGAGCTGCGCGGCGGTGAGCGACGCGAGGTGCGCCTCGTCGCCCGTCTCCGCCGCGCGCCACAGCGCCGCCTCCAAGTCCTCGCCCAGCTTTGCGCGATCCGCGCCCACCATGCGCGCGCGCGGGGAACGGAGAGAGCACGGCACTAGCAGCGAGGAGGTTCACGCGGATTGGAATTTGGGAGCGCACTACTGACTGGCAGGTCTTTGGGGGAGGAATCTGAAGCTCCTAGTCAGCTGACTGCTGGGAGGTCAGCTTCAAATTCACAGTCGCTGACTGCTGCCTGTGATGTTGAGGACACCTTCACCGCGACCCGCTATAGAGCAATGAAGCATTAACCCTTGTTTGGGCAAAATATATCATCTTGAAAGCGATCCGCTTATATTGTTCTTGTACGGGGATAGAACTTGTATCACGAGCTGTAGAAAATGTGTGCTAAGGTATCACAGAAGAAATAAAAAGCTGTAAACGTAATGCTACTACCGTAAATTAGTTGCGGTCTGCAATTATCATTATACGGTGGTTCCATATGAAGGTGGATCCCAGATTCTGGCTTCAAAATGCTAATTCCTGAATCCCTATATAAACAATACCTACGTCTCAGTTGCCTGCCAGCCATGCAATGCAACAGCAAAACCAGCAGTGGCTGCCCCCCCAACAGCGTGATTCAGCTCACGAGGGCAACAAAACAAGCCAGCTCAACAGCTCAACCCTGCTCGTACGCAAACCCTCAACTTGATTGTAGAACCTCAACCCTGGGACCTCAACTTGACTGAGCACGACCATTAGATATTTCACTCAAGGAATTGGTGGTTGGTGGTGACTCAGTTCAGATCAGAAGCATCTAATGGGGTGGTGGTGTGGTAACCAGCCCAAACCTACTTTTGCTTATGAGGCCAGCAGCTGTCTCTGCAGCTCCAACTTCTACCTCCGCATTCCCTCAACGAACCCCACTGCAGCATGCAGGAGAGAGTGTGATCGCGACCGGACCGACTATGTGCATGCGATGCGACTGGCAGCGCAACCGACTTTTGAGGCGCCTCAAAAGTCCCCACGAACCCCACTGCAGCATCCAGGAGAGAGTGTGATCGCGACCGACTATGTGCATGCGATGCGACTGGCAGCGCAGCCGAAGACTGCTGTAGCCTCGTTGAGTCTCCAAGCGCAGGCATTGAGAATCTGAGGTGAGCGGCTCGCGCAGAAGCGCGAGTGTTGCTTATGAGGCCGCCAAATGTCGCTCCAGCTCTAGCTTTTTCTATGCCCGCATTCCCTCGATGAACCCCACTGCCCGTCTCCGCGTGCGACTGGCGGCGCAACTGAAGCTGGCTCCAGTCGCCCTGCCCTGCCTCTTCAAACCTGGTCCTTGAGAATCCGATCCGATCAGACGCGGTGTTACAAGGTTTCCAGCTGCCGCTGCAGCTCCCGCTTGTACTCGTGCATGCCCTCAATGAACCCCACGGCTGCCTCCAGCAGGGTGGCTATCTGCGTGCGATTGTTGAACCCCGCCCGCCCCTGCTGCCTCACAAGCACCTCTGCTGGTATCGCTGCCTTGAGGGCCTTTCGCCACTCTCTGTGAGACACACAGAGGTGAAGGAAGGGTCGAGAAGGAAAGGGGCAAGGCACGCATTAGGCTGGCTCTGGATACTTACAACATGGTATCGCTGCCTTGGAGTGTTTTTACTCGCTATCTGTGAGACACACATGGGGGAAGGATGGGACAGGGCATGGCACGCGAAGGACGAGGGAGGGAGGGAAGGAAACACAAGATGAATGAGGCTCAGTAGAGTGCAGTGCAGAACCACTTCGTCCAACGAACAGCACTTGAGCAATGCGCTTACACACACACGTACCATTTGGCACGACCTGGTTAACCAGAGCAAAAAAACATGAACAAGAGGGAGGACCAAGTCAGCAAGAGTGAAGGAGAGTGAACAGGGTCGAGCCTTCAACACAACACATGCACCGCACCGAGGACCAAACCCGACCCTCACCCGACTCACGTGATTCTGGATCGCCGTTGCTTCTCTGTAGCACTCTTTCCGGTAATCTGCCTCGCCCCTGCTGCTGCAACAGGCCCAGCGAGTCCCACCCCTCTCCTCGGAGACTGGGACAATGGGGACGGGGTTGCAGAGGGCGACTTAAAGCCTGTGTTCCCTCCTGGGGGCGACTCTTGGGCTGCTGCTGCCTGCAGTTGCGGCGAGTCTGGAGTGAATGGGTGCTGTGCGTGTGGCTGCGGTACAGAGGTGTTTGGAGTGAAGGGCTTGTGTGCGTGTGCATGGACGGATCTTGGTTGCACTGCTGGGTGTGTCGATGGTAGCCCTCGAGACGGTTCAAAACACAGCTCCACAGACCGGTGCAGTGCGGTGCTGCCAGATGTTTGTGCTGCCAGATGTTTGTGCTGCGCCTCAAAAGGCTGCTAAAAGCTGCCTGCCCCTTCTGGTGTGCGATGGACGAGTCCGGCATGGCAGGTGCAGCTGGAGAACCAGCAATGGCAGCAGCGGCAGCGGCACCAGAAGCAGCAGCAGTGGGGAGAGAAGCGTCCACACAGCCATCCAGTCCCACCCAACGCCCCATCTCAAAGGGTTGCGGCAGAGGCATCACAAGAGCTGCTGCACCACCAGTGGCAGAACCATCATCAAAAGCAGCAGCAGCAGAGGGAAATGGCAGAGGCTGCATGAGAGCTGCGAGGGTAGGAGCGGCCATAGCAGGAAGGGCTGCTGCTGCATCCCACGGTGCATCGAGGTTGGCAATACAGCTGGGCCTTCTTTCGTCGGAAACGAGCGTCCTGCTGCTAGAGAAGACACCAGCAGCAGCAGCAGCAGCGCGTGGTTCAATGGCTGCAGCAGGAGAAGCAGTAGCAGCATCAGTAGCGGTGGCAGCAAGAGGGAAACCAGTATCAACAGCAGCAGGGCTACCGCATAACCGCTTGCTCGCCTGAAAGGCTTCCATTTGAGCCAGGTCATTTGTCTGAGAATTTAAAAGCCTTCGCTTCGTGCCAAAAGTTGGTACGAAAGTGGGAGAGTAGTGAGCCTTGAATGCCGTTGAGGAGTTGTGGGCGGGGGAAAAGGACGGCGAGGGGGAGTGACACGCAAATGGAGGAGGATGAGTGCTGATCTGCAAAGACGGCTGAGTTGGCAGCGGCTGAGCCAGCAGCGGCGCAGGAAGCAGCAGACTGGAACGACGAAACTCATTCCGAACGTAAGTCAGCAGGGAATTGGGGGGTGACACTGGATCCCCAAGAGCCCCACTCCCATCATCCTGCAGAGGCCCTCCTGTTGCTGAGGGTGCTAATGCAACCAACCTGGAATCTAAACCCGGACTCTTCCCTTCACATTCCGTCGGCACCAACCCTGCGTGCTCCTCCGGACTGAAGGCCGGGTGGGGCTCCCACAGCGTTCGCTTCTCGCCGGGGGTGGAAGCCGGGTCGGTGAAAGCGGAGTCAGCAAGCATGCGGGGCTGCTGCTGCTGCTGCTTGGCGCGCTGCAGCGCTGCTTGGATCAGGCACACCTCGTCCCTGCTCATGCTGCTCCAGCTATGGTCATCATCTTCCGCAGCCCGCACTGTGTCGCCGGGTTGAAGCTCCCCCGCTTGGAGCATGGCGGCGTCTAAGCACGGTTCTTTCGTTGCAGGCGTTACCGCGTGGAAGCATGGTGGCTCCGAGTCCCCCGTTAGAGGCGCGTCTGGACAATCCATGCGGAGGGAGGGGTCAAACGACCAACAAGAAAACGCCGAGTCGTCACTGTCGTAGTTAGTGGCAGGAGCGAAAAGAGAGCACGAGAGCACTCCCGGACGCACAGTCTGTTATTCATAAGCCTCGAAACGAGCAAAGAAGAAGCACCGTTGCACCACAATGTACGTTACGCGGCAATGGCACTTGCTGGAAGATAAACGGGGGAATCCGTTCCAGAATCTCATGAACCATCATCAGCCGATTGAAACGAAGTACTGGTACCAGGTGGAATGGTACGATAATGAATCGGAACGCTGGAGAGAGTGGACGGAAACACGTTGCGGCTCTTGCACTCACCAGCTGCATCGTCATGCGGACTCGCGACGGGGTGCAACATTCCTAGGAACAGTGGTAGCGGCGGGACCACGAGGGCGCCAGGGTGCGAAAACAGGACTCCAATTGGTGCGCCCGCCCCTCCCCCACACTGTTGTGGCACAACACCACGAATCGCTGCTGTTGAATGGGACCGTGTGAACTGAGAGCACCCTTTCTTCCATCTATGGGCTGTGCTGTGCACTCGAAACCTTGGAACTGGAGAGAACAGCGTGGAACCGACTGGCCTTGCAAACGAGCAAGTTGCCTCACAGCTAGTGTGTGTGCGTGTGTGATGATAGGGTTTGCGGCTGGGATGATCCAACCAATCGCCGAGATCGTTGTTGTCTTCAACTCTCACAGCGGAAACTGGGACTGCTAGGCGTCGAAGCTGCGAGCCAGCTGAAAACCGTCACGAATGATCAATGATGCTGTCTTCGATTCTCGGAATCTGGTTGCGCCGAGGCGAGCAGGGCGGCAAAATCAGGCATAACTCAAGACGCATGCAAGTGCCGTGATGCCGCCATAGTAGAAAATAGAATTGCGATGATGATGATGAATGTGATACGTGGCGAAGCCCTGCTGGCGTGGCTCCTCCAGCGCAGCATGCTGACCTAATCCACTACTACTGTACGCCGACCCATGCCAGATCATAGCGGGCTGTTGTGGTGTACATGCAGCATGCTGACCTAATCCACGACTGTAGAGTACGAAATGGGAAGACCGCGTCCGGTTCGGAGACACCACACCGTATCCGTATGTAGTAGTACTACGAAATTGGAGAAAAAATATGCCCGTCCTGTCGTTCGGAGACAGACAGAGACGGAGCAGAGAAAATTAAGCATGTGTGTATCGCCTGTGGGCTAGTGAGGGCATACGCTGCCTGACCTAGTGGGTAGCGAGGCGTTGTTTAGTACTTACGCACCTTCAGGGGGGTCATACTGAAGATGTTCCTACTGTACATGTACTGAACTGTAATCTGACGGACGCCATTCTTGATCGACACCCACCGAACGTTTTTCGACGGTCGCAACCGCGGCGACACTCACTAGAAGTAAGTACGCCCCACTTGCGCGGGGTGACGCACACTCTTCTCACTTCACTGCAGCGAGAAGGACTCTTTGCATGCCGCGCGTAACGAGTGACGTGAGCGTATCAGATCTTACGGAGGCTGGTGGCCCGTAACAGCTCAGCTTCCTTGAGAGAGCTTAGGACGTGTACAAGGAAGGAGACGTATTTCGCGAGAACTGTAAGCTGAACGATCAAGGTAAGTGAGCTGTCCTTGCCAGAATCGCACGCACGACAACTCAAACTAGCTGGCTGGTATGATTACAGAAGAAATCGGTTGGCATTCCTTGTTCAAAGGTGCCGCCTTACGAAAGCCGTATTGGTCAGTTCTAGTACGGTATAGGCAAGGACAGTGTTGGGACTACTCGTTCCCGTCCGGCAAGTCTCCTTCCAGCTAGAACTAGCTAACGTCACTTCCATTGCCTGTGCGTGGTGAATTGTTTGCTTAGATAGGGAGAGTGTTACGAGTGCAATTGAGTGAACGAACGAGAATTGCACTACCGAAGCAAAGAGTACAATGAGCGAAGGCATGAGCGAAGGATTATATAGCGAAACAATAGTGGTAACGGTAATGGACTGTGGTTGTCGCGCGACGAGCCTGGGGCTGAGGTTGGGAAAGTGTCGAAGCGTAGGCCCGGAGCGCGGGTTACCAGCCGAGCCGTGAGGTTGGGATGCGATGTGCGAAGAGGGCGGGATAATGAATGATACGATGGTCGTGAGTGGTAACGGTGCTGACTGAGGTGCTACAGTGACGTACGCGTTGAGCAGGGACGCGAAGTAAGGAAAAGGGAATTTCCTTACACTACCCCCCTCCCCAAGGAGGCCCCTCTTACGAGAGCGCATGGACGTCGCGGAAATTTCGGCTTCGCAGATACTCGGGGAAGACAGGGTGGTTCTCAATTTTATCCAGGGGGACCCAGTTGTCTTCTGTGGGCGTTCGGTCCTTCCAGCGAATTAGGAACTCTATCCTTCGGGCTCCCCGAGGGTCGCGGACTCGGTGGCTGAGGATTTTTTCAGGGGTGATGAGTGGTTCGGTTGGGGGACGTGTCATGCTGGCTGGTCGATTTCATGGCAGTTGGCTCGTGGATGGGATGTAAGGGCGAAGTAGGCTGACGTGGAATGACGGGCTGACGTACCAGTCAGCAGGGAGGAGGAGGTGGGCAGTGACGGGTGTGATCATGTGGCTGATGCGGAATGGTCCACAATACCGGGGGCGAAGTTTTGGAGTGATGGGCAGGCGAAGATTCTGAGTGTCGAGTAATACGAGGTCGTCGGGCTGATAAGTAACGGGTCTGCGATGTCGATCGGCGTTACGTTTAGCGATGATGTTTGATTTTTTGATTGCTTCTGCTGCCCTGGTCCGTGCTGCTTGCAGAATCTCGACGAACTGTTGTGCTCGTGGGACTGGGTTGTCGGGATTCGGTGTCATGGGTACTGTTGGGTCCTGTCCGTAATTCAAATAAAACGGCGACTGTTGCGTCGTGGCTGATGGTGCGTTATTGTATGCGAACTCGATAAGTGGCAGCTGCTGTTCCCACGTATTCGGGTCGTCGCACGTGGCTCGAATCAGCTGCTCCATGGTCTGATTTGTCCGTTCCGTCTGTCCGTCGGTTTCGGGGTGATAGGATGAACTGAACTGTAAGCGCGTGCCGAACTGCTGCCACAGGTTCCGCCAGAAGTTGCTGGTAAATTTCGTGTCCCTGTCGCTGATGATCGACGCGGGTATCCCGTGCAGTCGTACTACGGTGGAGATGAATAGTCGGGCGGTTTCTTCGGCTGTGATGGATTTCCTGCATGCTGCGAAATGAGCCATTTTCGTTAGTCGATCGACGACGACCAGGATCGCGTCATTCCCACTCGCCCCAGCTGGTAACCCTGTGACGAAGTCCATCGTCACCTGCTGCCAAGCACGCTCTGGAGGCGGGATGGGTTGTAATTGCCCCGCTGGTCGCTTCCTGCTTGACTTCATGAGCTGGCAAGTGGGACACGATGCCACGTGTCGTTGCACATCGGTCAACATTTCTGGCCAGTAGTGTGAGAATAAGCGAACAGGAATGGATGAAACTAGCAGTGAAATGAGTACAAGTAGGAAACCCTAGAATTGTGTACCCCCTATAGGCTAACCCACTGTAGCCTACACAAGCATAACATATATAATGTTTGACACACCCCCATAGGCAAAGTGGGGGAGAACAAGGGGTCACAAGACCAGTCAAGCAAAGCAAAGCAAGCTCAGGGTGGATCACAAAGTCACCACACAGTCCGAGCACAAGAGCAGGGCCAGAGGCCAGTTCACATGCAGGAGTACAGACATATATATAAAACTAGACAAGCAAGAGCAGGTATATATATATGTCACAGTACAAGTGAAGTCAAGAGGAGAGCAAGTGAGGCAAGACAGGCACAAGACCCAGCTGGGTGCAAAAGCGCTGATGGTCACAAGGCGCGAGTGCCTTGGTGAACACATCAGCAGTGTTGGCCTCAGAGGCCACGTACGCAAGTCGCAACTGACCACGCTGCTGCAGCTCACGAGCAAGAAAGTAGCGGAGAGCAATGTGCTTCGTTCTGTGCTCCAAGCGCTGCTCTCGACACAAGGCCAGCATGGCCTTGTTGTCTACGTACAGCACTGGAGGAGAACGAGGCGGCTCTCCAAGGTCAGTCAGCAGGTAGGTGAGCCAGCGAAGCTCCTGTGCAGCCATGGCCCCGGCGTAGATCTCAGCCTCACAACTGGAGCCGAGAACCGAAGACGAGCGAGTAGACCGCCACGAGACAGAGCCGGAACCAAGGCTGAAGGTGTAACCCTGTGACGACCGCTGCGTAGTCTGGTCGTCAGCCCAAGAAGCGTCCGCGTGGCCGGTAAGGACCACTGGACTCCGCCCTCCAAGCACAAGCCCCATGCCCGACGTACTGCACAGGTAGCGCAATACCCTCTTCGCTGCAGCCATGTGCTCTGGTCTGTGTCTCCCAGGAGCAACATAGCGTGCAAGAATGCTCAGAGGATATGCAAGGTCAGGTCGTGTGCAGGTCATCAGGTACATGAGGCAGCCAACAAGCTCTGCATACGGACCACTCGACTCTACGGACTCATCCGAAGGCAGAGCTGAGAGTGAGTGGCGAGTAGGCAGAGGAGTGGCCTGAGGCGAGGAGTACGTGAAGCCGAAGCGCTGAAGGACCTGCTGCACCATGTGTGACTGAGTCAAGGTAATGGTGCGGCGTGCTCTGTCCCGAGTGATCTGCAAGCCAAGGTAGCTGCGCAGTTCACCCAGGTCTGTGCACGTGTGTCTCTTCAGCAGTTCGGACTTCACGTAGGCGAGTCCAGCAGTGTCCGCTGTGGCAAAGACCAAGTCGTCGACGTACACAAGGATGTAGAACGGCGGCAGTGAAGTGTCGGTGCGCAGAAACAGCGACGGGTCAGCAGTAGAAGGAGCAAACCCAAGAGCCGCAAGCGTAGTCCTCAGTGTGTCGTGCCACTCACGCGGTGCCTGGC